CTCGCGAGAAACAGGCGAGCATCTTCACACAGCTGGAGCAATCGCTCACCATTATCATTACGGGAGCCTACACCATGTTGGCCGCCCAGATGAAGCTCATCAGAGGACAATTTTCCGACTTGGGCGTTTAGATCGCCAGCCAGCACCACAGTATCCGTGCTTCTTCTGTAACGAAGGAGCTCGTGAAGTTGCTGGTAGAAATCATCTTTTACCGAATCAGTGCTACAGTTTGTAGGGGCGTAGGCCGCAATGACAAACAAGCACCGTTTGTCCCACGCGACTTCGGGCGTTAGAAATCCAAATCTTTCGCCCGAAGCAGACGTAGTCCTACTTGAGCAACTGGACTCGAAAATCCATGGCTATGAGGAATTCAGCTTGGCTCATAAGGCTTGTATGAGCGTACATATCTGGGGTGCCTGCATAACTCAGCGAAACTACTGCGTCAAATATGTCTGTGAAGATAAATTCCAGCACCAACAAGATGAACTTTAGCACGAATCCTAAGATGCTGTTTAGGCACGCTAACAACCTCTACAGAGAGCAGCCAGAAATCCCAGTTTCACGCGCAGCGAGTGGTCTGGCGCTAACAACACAAGAGGTGGCCAACGCGCTTCGTCAACACTTCATCCGCACTTTTCAGTGTGAATCGTCATCTCATCTACTTTTGATCCATCTCCCACCGCCCACAGGGTTAAGCAAATATATCATTCACAGCAGCGAATGAAATGAAAAGGATGTCCTTGCGCGTACAAAGCTCCCCTGGTGTAGACAATATAAGACCGAAGACATGAGAACAGCCGCCATGAATACCACCAAAACGTTAGCTCGGTTCTTTCATCCTCTGATGAAATGCAGGTTCCCACTGTGTTGAGAGATGGGATAATCACTCCTACTTATAGAAGTGGCAATCGTGCGGGACACTGGAACAACCGCCCAATAACATCTTCCAATGCCATCTAAAGTGGTATATATATATATATATATATATATATATATATATATATATATATATACCATCACACATGTGGTCATGGGATACTTTGGGAGCATTAGCATCCTAGTATCAAAACAACACGGATTCCGCCGAAATCGGTCCTGCATCAACAATTTGCTACTAGCCCGAGCAAACAAGACGGAATCAGTTGTTGTCACAGCAAGAGCTGACATCATCTACTTGTACTGTTCAAAAACGTTCGACCGCCTGGACCACCGTCAACTGAATGTGAAAGTCCGCATTGTCATTTCCGACGCACTGAGTCCAGTGTGGTGTATCCCAAAAATCGGTATTGGGATCACGTTTGTTACCAGTCTTAATCAACGAGCTGGATAATGTGCCCCAGTCGGACTCCTTACTACTTGCAGACGATGTCAAGATCTGGTATGACATCAAGACAGCGGACGATCACATGGCACTGAAGCGCGATCTGGACAGGGCCTATAAGTGGTCATCCAAGAAACAGGTCCAGTTCGAATCGGCGCAATGCAAAGCTTTGTACATATGCCATCAGCGTACCCATGAATATCAACCTGTGGAACAGCAGTTACAACGTGCTTCCCAGGGAAACGATCTCGGAGTAATTGTGCAAAATAACCTTGGTTGCCTGAGACAAGCCGAAAAAGCATCGAGAAGAGCCGGTCAGCATTTAAGCGACTGACGGAAGGCGTTCGTGCATTTTTAGCCACTTATCTTCCCGCTAGTACTGAACGCCAATGTTAGGCCTCATGTGGAACGTGTGATCCAAGCCTGGAGTACTTGGCGCAAACAAGATGTCAATGCGCTTGAAACTTTACAACACGGCGATCAAATTAGTTGGATGGTTGTTTTTACTTTCTCTGCCAACGCAGACAGCAAGCCCTTGAGCTGTAAAGCGGTAAATATCGGCGTCTGCGAACACCAAGCATACCTATCGCAATGCCCGTAGGGAATAGACACAACACATGCCAACGTGAAAAAGCTACGATTCCTGTATGCACGCAGGTGCTAACATCATCTACTTGGAAATTTTGAAATGCCAAACTCTTTTTAATTTTAGACGGATTTGTGATCAAAATCGCGGGCATCTCATGCAACTGCTTTTGTGCACGAGGAAATAAAGCCAGCTGTTAACACCAGAAAGACCGCTCCGCCGTTATACCTAGAACGCCCGGGACCGGTCAAAATGACCGCACTGCTATATTTTTTATCGCAACTTTCAGTTAAGAATTTTTTCACGGTATTTATTAAAAACTAATGTATAAAACATACCTGTAACAGAAAAATGATTGTATAAAGGTTTAGTTTTTTTCAAAAATTGTAAACACTTCCGTATACCTACTCCAATTTGCACTTGAAGCAAGTGATAACTCGCTCAATCTGTCCACATGAGCTGCAAACTATTTTTTCACAAACAGAGCACTTGTTTTGTGATTTGTTACCTTTACAGTAACCAATCTGACACTGCCGACGTTTAATGTTCACACGACTTCCCGACTCCGCTGAGTTGTTCGTCGTAATTCCCGTTGTCACGTACCTTGTGTGATGTATACATGTAAGCAGTTCTTCCGAAAGACCCACCAGATACGACCGGCGAGATATTTTAGTTCCGCAAACACTGTTATAAATTATCCAGGAATTTATGCCAGCCAAATCCAGTACGTTGAAAAAGACTTGGACTGGCCATCGTCGAGATGATGACTTCACAGTGAGTGCTCTTGTCATTTGGTCGAGTACATCCACACCATGCTTTGTGGAGTTGTAAAACAACACAGTCTCGGGTCTCTTCTTTCCAGAGTCTTGAACGGAAGAGTTACTATGCAGGGAACTGAAAACCAAAACACTTATTCCTTCTACACTGGTAGGATGTTAATGTGTGCTTATTTTCATTCCTCATCATAAGTGAACTGAACAGCTCTCTATTTCTTTGCTTCAAAATCGATGGTACTTCCTTTCTATTAGCTCGAAGTGTTCCCAGCATGCTTGTGTTTTTCTTGGCCAGCATTTCTCCTAATGCTGCCGATGTAAAGAAGTTGTCACATGTGACATTGTACCCCTTTCCAAATAATGGTGACACCAAACGCAATACCACGCTCTCTGCAAGACTTTCTCCTCTTGACCGAGTTTCGTCCTTCCCGAGATATGGAAATCCATTAACGAGATACTTGCTGTCTACTTCTGCCAGCATCCAAAACTTGATACCGAACTTATCTGGTTTGTTGGGCATGTACTGGAGAAAACGACAACGGGTTTTGGAGGGAAACAATTGCTCATCAACTGTGAGATTCTGCGCAGGCACATAGCATTGTTGAGAGTTGCTAATGAATGCATTCCACAATTCAGATACCAAAGCAAACTCATCAGTTAGCAGTCTTTCACATCGGGTAGTTCGTATGTCAAAACGGAGGAACCTCATTATTTCTTTGAAGCTGTTCTTGCCAGTTGTCTCCCTGAAAATAGGCAGTCCATATCTATCGCACCACATCATATTCAACAGCATGTTCTTCAGACCCATGAAGCCTCTGATGTAAAGTAGACCAATAAAGGCACGTAGCTCTGGAAGACTTACGCTCCACTGACAACTGACACCTAAAGCTCTCTTGGCCTCAGCTTCAGTACATACTTGAATATGTTCCAGCATCTGGGGCGTGATTATGATGTCAAAAGTGCTCGACAGCTCACCATATTTCACACATTTCTTAGCATAAGGAGTTGGTCCTGGTCTAGCCTTAAACACATTCTGTGATGGAATCCTACCAACAGTAGATGTTTCGAACTCCACTGCGATCCACGTGCTACCATCTTCCGATACGTGAAGCTCACCGGGAGATACCGAATCGGTTGATACACTCTCTCTAGGGTCCTCATATGGAGTGTAATCATCAGACGTTTGACTATCAGACATGCTGTGATCTGCTGACTCATGGAAGCTGGAGTCCTAATCAACATCATAATCGTTCTCGTCTCCAGACTCGTTGTCCTCGATGGTTGTAAGTTCTCGTAAAACTTCAAAGGCTGTTTTCCTCAGAAGTGCCATTGTGTACAAAAATGTCACTGGAATTTATCTGACTGAACGCACAATATCACAGTAAAATCGTGATTCGGCTAGTTTTCACTCCCGTTTTGACCGCTATAGTATATAACTGTCAGAAATGATAGTGATGGCTAAAAATAAAAAGAGGAACCGGATTAGAGAGAAGCGGTCATTTTGACCGCTAACGGGCTTCCTAGGTAGTATGAACACAGCTACCTCTTTTCTCGAAAACTATAACAGATATGAAAACGAAAATTCACAGTAATAAAGAACGTCCAAAAATATTAAAAGTCACGAAATATCTTTGAAAAATGTCCATAAATGTAGAAAATATGCACATTTAAAAACGCTGAGCGGTCAAAATGACCGCTCCGGGCATTCTAGTGTTAATGCATGTCTCCCGCAAGTGCGCTTTCTGGTATCCTTTAACGCTCATTCGAGCATATAAAAACATCGACAAATAGTAGGCCCAGGATCGAGCCAGTTACTGGTACATTTTACTAAAGATATAGCCGTGTGGTACGTTGAGCTTGCTACGTTGAAAAAATCGTTTATCCTTTGGTAACATCCCGTTCAAAATGCTTATACGGCCACCCACCGCTTGTAAAAGTGGCCGTAGTTTGTGTGCGCCGGTTCGCTCTTTCTGTAGGACCAACAGGGTGGGCTGCGTTACACGACATATGCCTGGACGAACTACAAAACGCCGGCCAAACTGGCTTAGTAGCGAAAGTCGTGCACCTGGTATCTCAAAAGCTTCTTACGATGTATCGGGATGGGGGAACTAAATAGAAAGTCAGTTTGTGAAGACGCATGTATCACGATGGCTAATCATTGTGAACAAGCTAAGATGTTCTGCGAATCGACGACGACCTATTCTAAGACATGAATTATTAGCATTGTCTTGATGATATGACTGTGAGAAAGAGCGTTTTGTCGTACTGTTCTTTCCATGTCTAAGCTGGGAGTTGTTTGTTGTCAATATGATTTATTCACCTATAAAAAAGCTGTAACTGGTTTAAATAAGTTCACTTTCTGAGAGCGCAATCGGAGTCGACTTACCTTGATCAGCCATTCCAGGGAATCGTCTATGATGCTCCGTTCTAGTTCCTCCACGCTTAAACCGATATTTGCCACCGGGCTGCGCACACTATCTGTAGATTTGGAACGAAGGGTCTTCTGTGTCCAGCAGAACCGTATGTGAAAAAAGAGCGGTGAGCATCGGTTATCGAAGGTACATAAAGATACTAAGACTCGAGCGATTAAGCACTGGCCGATGTGGGTTGGTTTATGGTTTCCGATAACCTCATACAATTAGGTAGCTTTAGATTGTGAAAGAGACAAAAGAAAATCCGCATAAAAACGGCGAAGCTTGCCTTGTGTTCGTGTTGGTGAATATGTGCAACCATGTCCTACGAATCGGTCTGCTAGTTGGTTTGGACATCCAGCTATCAGTGGACAATATGTCGGCTATCACACGAATAGACTAACTACCGACGTGCAACGTAAACGTTTAACTGGAAGATGTAAGAAACAGGAAAGAAGGGTTTTACTGCATCGAATACGCTCCTTAGTGTGAAATAGCAAATCGACTTCACACTCGCGTCTACAGTTCAAGATTTGAAAAGGGTATGGAAAAGCCAAAAATCAGACGTAATTTACTCTAATGGGCACTTCGGATTACGAACCAAGGGGTTAGTACAGTCATGGGTCGGCGTCATCATAACTGATGGTTCATCGTACGTCGCGTTGACACACAGGCTTGCCGGTGTTGAATTTTCCTATCCGACCCAAATCAATGTGTTGACTCAGCTAAGCTGGCCGGACTACGTCTGACGATCACACTCACACTAAAGTTCATTCCGCCAACTCTACTCACGCAAATACCGGTTTGGCGATTTTCAACACCTCGGTACCAATCACAGAAGAGTAGCCAGGAATAATACCCTAGTTATTTACATATGCGGATTACATGACTTACGTATGGCACACGTGTTGCTGCGGCGAGTTGATAGAGGTACATACTCAAGAGTGCTTCCTCGGTGCTGTGATATGTATCTCTTATGTTAGCTATTGTCTGTCGTATGCTACCCCCTTGCTGTCTGGCTTATACGCATGTGTGGACAATTTTAGGAACGCAGCAGGATGCCTTATCGAAATAAGAGGCCATACCAATTACCTGTAGGCTAGTTTTGTCTGACGAATCATGTGTCGAAATTCGCTTTTAACGGACAAACGATGATCCCATTGTTTGCGACAATTTGGACGACATAATGATAAATCGACGGACTTAAGGCACTGGAGAATGGGGCACCCACCCAACAGAATACTGAACAACAACGTAAATGTAAGCAATTATTACTATTTTATCAACAGCCTAGTAAAGAGACATTGAGCCATACAAAACCATGTAAATCAATGGAAGGTGACAGGCAGGATTGCTATGTCAATACCATCAACATGACACGTTAGCTCAAGGTGAACAATAAAAATCAGCTATTGTGCCGCACAGGTTATTATTACGTTTTATTTTTCTAACTTGTTTGGTACTAAGCACGAGAATTTAAACGTTTGTACACAGCACTTCCACCGGTTTCGATGGAGCGCCATATCCTGGAATGTTTCGAGCCAATGGCACTCTTCGTCCTTTGGACCACAACCAGGTAGGCGTTTGGATCCAACGGCAGCAAGACGTGAAGTCAACGATTTCATATGCTATCGTCAAGTGGAACACTGACCGCCCCGCGGTTGCCCCTAGCCCGGCCCTGAACAAGCGAATAGAGTGCAGTGCAGCAAACGCTTAGACGCCATGCACAGCAAAACCAGCTTGTTGAAGGGAATACATGCATTCCATAAGATAGGGCGTGTGACTTCATCGTTGCAGATACGCTGATGCCAACACGTACGAACAATCCTCCTCAAGAACCAATTAGAAAAGGCCGGCGCATGTCATCTACGCGAATTGTCATGTGGCAACACCGCCGAACAGTGGCGAGAATGAGACATCCCGAAGACGCCACAAATGTTCATCATCATCATCATCATCATCATCATCAATAAACGTCAGTCGAGGGTGGGAAAAATAACTCAACTAATGTGCCGCAACGCAAGAAAGATATGAGATTATACAATACAGACTACAACGGCTAAAAGGTGACAATGCTAAAATCACATCAGGTATTGGGTTGAGATCGTTGTTGAAGGGGGCAGTCAAAGGGGAGGGGAGAGACAAGAAACTCACAACACAAACACCACTGAAGTCTGCTCTTCGCCATGTCAGCTAATGTATCCAACCAAACGTGTTCATCGTCCTTCAGACCCCGGGAAACACCAATCGACACTAATTTCGAAGTAAGAGAGCTCATTCCTCTAGACCAAGTCATCGCTTAGCCTCCCCTCCTTCTATCCAGACCTCGGGCGCGCAAACAACGCACGTCGCAGGAGTCAGTGTACTAGCATGCGCAACACGACCCAATCATCGGAACCTGGTGCGCGATCCATAGGCCTAATCACTGAAATTCTCAATCACACCCTCGTGTGACACATTCGACTGGCATGCTAGATAGGACAGTCCGCAAGCACGTCACTGCAAAGTGAACGCTGTGACCTTGCCGACAACGTCAATAAGAGAATATTTTACCATCGAAGTGAGTCATTCTAATGGTTCGTAACATTTGCTCAACAAGCGTGATGCCCAGTGTGCCAGTCTAAAGACCCATGTGGATCACGTGCCAAACTTGTTAAGGGGGCATTCCGTACCGTAATTGTTGTAAGATTTTTCAACCAGATTCTCTATGGTTCTGAGTGGAATGCACATGTATCCCACTAATCAAAGTGTGCTTCTATTGTCTCAGAAGTACGACCAGCCAGTAGTCAAGTTTGAGGAAATGGTGACCACCAAAATCACTACGGTTGGGATAAGCATAGCGGAATGTGCAACCCAATTCTCCCCCGTAAGTGCTGCTCCTGCTAGCAACACCGTAAGCAAAACGACACCGAACCCAGAAAATCAACTACTGTTCCAATACTACCCGTGGCTCCCATTTGACTAGTGCGGTTCCCAGTTCGATCGGAGTAACTACACATAAGGCTACTTCCAATCTCCCGACGGAGTGTGTAGAAAAAGTGCAAGCCAGTATTACCGAAAGTTGGGTTACGGTTGCTTCCAATAAGAACCGTCATTTAAAACTAACATCACCCCAACTGGATCGGAGACTGAGTTCTTCTGGTGCAAACGCCACTGGTTTTCTGCGGGACATCTCCGAGTATTTCAATCACTAACCGCGACATGTCGAAAGGTGTGCTGAGCGTACTGTGTTCCCATGTCCCAGAATCAAAGTCGACATCAATAAGAGGCAGGCAGTTGGATGACTTCTACCAGTTGGACATTATTTGTAAACCAATGCGTATTAACTGAATCACGGGGAATGCTGGTCTTCAGCAATCCAAAAATTCCCATTTATTAGAATGAAACAAGGGAGGCTCCTGTGGGGCACGATACGTGGGTCGTACCACGAGGCGCCTATCTCATAGGATTCGCGAACACCTCCCAAAGTGGTTTTACAAAGGCGAAGCGAGGTCCAGCAACAGCTCTATCTTATCTCACCTACTAGAGTGCAGTCATGCAGGGACGGAAAATGATTTTAGAGTCATTTATGCTGTTCCTGAACGTTTCACGCGCGGATTCCGGATGCATCTTCTGTCTATTGCGGAAGCTATCTACATCCGCCACCTCAAGCCAGAATTGTGCGTACAAAAACAGTTTGTACATCCTTTGCTTCTACCGTGGCCTACAACTTCGGCTATGATTTCTCCTGTACATACTTGCCACTCCCAATGACCCCGTGATTCATTGATTTGTACCCGTGGAATTAAACATTCTGTTCAATACGCAGCCCAATCCGGCACATTTAGCACTTTTCCTCATCATGTAATGTTTGAGTCTGATGAGAATTGCCGAAAAGAATTCTTTACTCAGATTCTGCCTCCCTTGTTTCAATGCGTATTACGCGGCACCCGATCTCTAAGCATTATACGGAGAGCCAAGACTTCTGCGCGTTGTACTAAGCTCCATCACTTAAGTAGAATCAGTATCACTGTCGACAATTAAACTCAGAAATGAACACTGCTCCATCCGTATCTTTTCAGACATCGCATGGCGCGAGCGTTATCGAGTTAACCGCGCGTTAGAGGACTACCGGAAGGAAGCTATGACAAGAACCATTCTTCTTCACAGAGTTCCTGATACTGAAGCATGTGATGAGCATGAAATAACAACCCATGATAAACAATGGTGTTATATTCTTGAAACCCTTTGCTTGGATGATGTGCTAGCGAAATTGTTGTCACGGATGCGCACCTCACCGAATTACAAAGGAAGTGACCGATAGTGGTGAAGGCGGTGACAGGGCTGCTAAAAAGCGGACACATGTTTCGTTGCAGGCTACCATCTGAGCTTCGGCTGAAGGCAGTCAGCGATATGATACTTAGAGATGATTTGTCATCCAATGAACCAAACGCGAGGGGATCTATAAAATATTCATGCACCAGTAGTGTGTTTAATAAACCCATGTAATCTGTTGATGATATTGACCAGTCACCTTACACTGCACGTAGAAGATTAGACACGGGACTAACTATGCAGACGATGAATAAAACGTTGAACCCGTCGCCAAGTGCACACTGAAAAAACGATTAGCCGCTGGCCACTCAATGGTCGGCAAAACTTCACGTATAAGTTGCCTAACCTCTGACACATTGCTTAACATCTGAAACTTTCATGCATGTGCACTAAAGCCCAAGGGTTCCTCAGTAAACTTACCGAATTTTGGCTACGTCAGACTGTGAATGCTTGGGACCTAATGTCCATAACGGAAACTTGGTTGCACCAAGAGGTGACATGCTGAGGTTGAGATAGCAAGAATGTCACTCATCCGGAACGACCGCCTCAGCAGAGGAGGTGGGGCCCTTCTTTACTACCGCAGCGACCTGCAATGTGCGACGGTTGATGATCTGGAAACATGTTACCGACTGACTCTGTTGCTGTCTCCGAGGAAGACACCACGACATGTCTCGTAGCTGTCGTTTACTGCCCCCACGTCCACTCCGGAAATGGATTCTCACTTGATACGTGCCTTGAACAGGGTAGCACGCACTAGGTACCGCCACATTCTCATCTC